TCTGGGCTGCAGTCCTCCGTTTCCCTGATCATCTTTCTCAGCTCTCACCCCCCACAGGGCCTTCCTCTCCCAGGCCCTGAGGCAGCCCCTGTGCGCACATCCCTCACCTCCCTGGCTGCCGCGGGGGCAGGGCTCTGGGGTGCTCACAGCCGTCAGTGCGGAGAACTGCTGCTTTGCATCTGATGCAGGAAGGACGGCCTCGGTTCTCCTGAGCGAGCACTGGGGCCCTGACTGCAGGGCGGGGCTCGCTGAGGGCGGGGTGCAGGGGTCCTGTCTGCGGGTGGGCTTGCTGAGCGTGTCCGGTTGCAGGAGTCCCCATCAGCAGCCTTCGGGAGATCACGCTGCTCCTTCGCCTCCGCCATCCAAATATCGTGGAGCTGAAGGAGGTGGTGGTGGGGAACCACCTGGAGAGGTGAGCATTCTGGCCTCCCACGGGCCCTGCCCTGCCCTCTGCCAGCCCCCCCAGCGAGGAGGTTGAGGTGGCCTGCGTGCTCCCCTTGCTTCTTCCAGCATCTTCCTGGTGATGGGCTACTGTGAGCAGGACCTGGCCAGCCTTCTGGAGAACATGCCAACGCCCTTCTCGGAGGCCCAGGTGCGAGGGGGGGGCCCTGAGGGCTCTTTACGGGTCCTTGTCCAACACACTGGTGCCCGACAGGGCCTGCCCTGACCTCCTGGCCCTCTGTGCAGGTCAAGTGCATCGTGCTGCAGGTGCTGCGGGGTCTCCAGTACCTACACCAGAACTTCATCATCCACAGGTGGGGCTCCGGGGGCCAGAGGGGCTCAGTCTCGGGGACCTGGGTCTGGATGGGGGCAGGGTCTCAGGTGCTGGGATGGCATCAGCCTGGAGGAGGGTGGGGTCTTGGGCGATGTACTGGCTGTTGACCCTGTACTGACCCCGGCTTCCAGTGCGCCGTTGCCCAGGGTCCCGGAGAGGAGCAGGAGCAGACAGACTCGGTGCAGGGGGTTGTCTGGATGCTCCTGGGGCCGCATCAGGACCAGATAACACCTCCTGCTCTGAGGTGTGAGTGCCGTCCAGGCTCTGAGAAGCCCCGCAGTGGAGAGCCTGCCTGGGGTCTGGTGACACAGGCCAGGAAAGGCCCAGGCTTGGGGCGGGGTGGAGGGGGTCCGTCTGAGCCAGAGCAGGACTCCGCAGGCAGCAGCCCCTGGGCGGGGAGCGAGGGCAGGACTGGAAGTTGGATGTGGGCTGTGGGCGCGAGGCCTGCCTCCTCTCAGAGCCCTGAGCGCTGGGGGGTCCAGCTGCCTTTTCCACCTGCCCTGCTCATTGAATACGTTCGCGCAGGAGATGTGTGGAAGAGCGTTGCGAGTGTTACCGTGGTGATGACAAGACTACCGGTGGCGGTCACTTCCTGGGACCCTGACGTTCCCTTTCTGTCACAGGGACCTGAAGGTTTCCAACTTGCTCATGACCGATAAGGGCTGCGTGAAGACAGGTGGGTGCGGGTGCTGGCTCTGAGGTAGGTGTCGCTGTGCCTGCCACCTTGCTGGGGGCCGGGGGAGGGCAGATCTGTCCTTACAAGCTCCCTGAAGGCTATGAGCTGGCCCCTCACTGGGTGACACACCGCCCTCCTGTCTGTCCGCCCTGTCACAGCGGATTTCGGCCTGGCCCGGGCCTATGGCATCCCCGTGAAGCCAATGACGCCCAAGGTGGTCACTCTGTGGTGAGTCCCTGGGACTGGGTGTGCCTGGTGGAGGGGAGTGTTGGGGTGTCCCTGCCGGCCTTTGAGCTGCACACACTTAGAGGCTGGGTCTGGGGCAGCTCCCCGGCAGCAGGACACCCAGCCTGGCTCTGTGTCAGGAAGGCGGTTGCTACCCTGCCTGCAGGACGGGTGGTCCACGTGGCTGACGGTAGCTGCTCACTGCGTTTCCAGAGGCAGCTCAGGGGCATGGTTAAAGGGAAGACACTGGAGTCGGATGCCTCCTGCCATGTTACTCAGCCCCGTCTATGAGACGGCGGACAGTAGGCCTGCCCGAGGACCCGGTGCTGTCTGGGATGCACACAGGAACTGTCCAGCAAGGGCAGCTGTTTCCAGGTGCTGCTCGCTGGGCAGAGCTTCCCAGGAAGGCGGGCTTGGTGGTGTCGGCAGTCCTGCTGCCCGGAAAGACTGGTGGCCAGTGGGTGGGCTGCACAGATCCGCTGTGCCCTGTGGACGCCCAGGAGCACCGGGCGTGAGGTGGGCGCTTCTGTTTGCAGGTACCGAGCCCCGGAGCTGCTGCTGGGCACCACCACGCAGACCACCAGCATCGACATGTGGTGAGGGAGGTCGTGTGGGCGCCGTCTGGGAGGTGGGGCTAGCATCCACTCCCAGCTCAGGGAGGTGGCCTGTGCCTGGGGTCCCCAAGGGAAGCCCCCAGCACTGCGGTCACCAGAGGCCTGCTGGGCCCATCTTGTGGCCACTCCATGTGGCCTCTGGAGCTCCAGCCCGTCCCAGGGCCGCGTCAGGGAGGTGGTAACAGGTGTGTGAGGTGAGGCACTGCTCTGCTCTGCAGGGCCATGGGCTGCGTCCTGGCCGAGCTGCTGGCCCACAAGCCCCTTCTCCCGGGCACATCTGAGATCCACCAGGTGGACCTGATCGTACAGCTGCTGGGGACACCCAGTGAGAACATCTGGCCGGTGAGCATCCAGCCTCCGCCCTCCCCCTCCCTGCTCCCCTCCTGCCCCCGCTGGGCCTGCCCCTGCAGCTCCGCTCCCATCCGCAGGGCTTCTCCCGGCTGCCGCTGGTCAGCCAGTACAGCCTGCGGAAGCAGCCCTACAACAACCTGAAGCACCGGTTCCCGTGGCTCTCAGAGGCCGGCCTGCGCCTGCTGAACCTGCTCTTCATGTACGACCCTAAGAAAAGGTGCTGACCACGGGCAGGGGGGCGCCTGCACCCTGAGCCCTTTGAAGAGGGCTTCTCAGAACACAGGCCGTGCCGCCACCAAGGGGTCCCTCCCAGACACATGCGTGGCAAGCCAGGTGCCCAGTTCTGTGGTCTCTGTCCACTCAGGTCACGGAGCCCATTGCGAGGTTCCCATCACTTTCTGGCCCAGCCCCCTTCCATTGTTGGGAGATGGGAACCAGGGCTGCCGGGTCAGGCAGCTGTGAGGGGGACCAGCCTGAGCAAGGTGTGCTCACTGCAGACTGTCCCTCCCCCAGGGCGACGGCCGGGGACTGCCTGGAGAGCTCCTACTTCAAGGGGAAGCCCCTGCGTGAGTCCCCCAAGACACCTAAGCTCCATCTGCAGAAGCTCTTGGCTGGGGGGCTTTTTTCTCTCGGGGGGGGGGGGGGCGCTTGCTTGGACGGCCTCCAAAATTCTTTCAAGCCCCCGCCCCATGATTGTGGGGGTGGGGGGGGGTCTCCCCCAGCTCCGAACCAATTGCGGCGGGCCCGGTTGGGCCCTGGCATGGGGTGGCCCGCTTGTACAAGTGTGTCTACACATACTTGCCATGCAAGATAAAAAGAGAACGGAAATGGAGGGGGGGGACGGACCCCTCCCGGGGACGCAG